GTTTTTTTCGGTAAGAATATGGACTTAGATAGATGTAGAACCAACCCGTTCTATAACTTTCCACTCTAAGTTTGCGAATAATCACGGGGTAAACATGTTGTTCTTGGACCTTGGTATAGATAGATTTTCCCGGTTTTCCTTTTTCTTTTCCATTGAATTGTTTCTTGTTTTGGAGAAATTTAGAAGGTTGTCGTGTTTCGATCAAAGTTTTAAATTTTTAGAGTTGGCTTGAATTGGCCCTCAATGTGCTTGACTGGGATAAATTGTTCGTAAGGATTGAGCATGACAAGATGTGGCCTTCTTGAGTCTAGTTTTATTTTTCTCATGCCTTTTTTTTTTCTTCGGTTTTCTGGGATCAATCCTAGCTGTGCACATGAGAATAGCTTAAATAGTTTAGGTCTTGATATCTTGTGTGAGTATAGGATGAAGAATTTGATGGCGTCTTTTGAAGCGGTGGCTGGCAATGAACCTGGGAATCGCAGTAGCAGAGAGGAGCCAGTGCAAAGCAGTGATGCTATGAGGAAGCCTCGGATTTTACTTGCTGCTACTGGAAGTGTAGCTGCCCTAAAGTTTGTCAGCCTCTGCCAGATTTTTTCTCGATGGGCGGAAGTAAAAGCAGTTGCCACAAGAGCATCTTTGTGTTTCATTGATCGAGCATCGCTTCCAAAGGATGTGATTATTTACACTGATGGGGATGAATGGTCCAGTTGGAGGAAAATTGGAGATAGCGTGCTTCACATCGAACTTAAAAAATGGGCTGATATTATGGTTATTGCTCCATTGTCAGCAAACACACTAGGCAAGGTGATATTTCATATTATCTGGAAATATCATTACTTAAAATTGTTTCCTTGTTCTATATTATCTGGTTAATTTCATGTATGAAATCTATACTTTTTACTTTTTTATATCTCTATATTTTAAATAAACGTCCCATATTTTTGTAGATTGCTGAGAGATTGTGTGACAATCTACTCACCTGTCTTGTAGATGCATGGGACTGGAAAAAGCCTTTGTTTGTTGCGCCGGCCATGAACACCTTGATGTGGAGCAATCCCTTCACCGAGCTACATGTGATGTCTATTGATAACCTAGGAATTTTACTCATCCCACCTATCCGTGGTGAAATGGCTGAGCCTTCTACAATCAACTCCACTGTAAGACTCTTTTACACTCACAAATTCAACAGGGTTGCTGCATTGGATGCATTACAAGACAATGCTCTGAGGAAGCCACGGATTCTACTCGCTGCTAGCGGGAGTGTAGCTGCCATAAAGTTTGCTCACCTCTGCCGTAGTTTCTCTGTATGGTCAGAAGTAAGAGCAATTGCCACAAGTGCATCTTTTCATTTCATCGATAGAGCATCACTCCCCAAGGATGTAATACTCTACACCGACGAAGAAGAATTGTCCAGATGGAACACAGAATATGATAGTGCGCGTCCCGTTGAGCTTCGCCATTGGGCTGATATAATGGTTATTGCCCCATTGTCAGCAAACACACTAGCCAAGGTAAATGTTTAACAATCTTGAATTCTTTGTTACTGGTTTTTCACATGAACTTTGTTTCTTTGATTTATTATCTGGTTTCATGTGTAAAATTTGTATTTTAATTGATAGTCTCCTGTGTTATTGCAGATTGCCCGGGGATTGTGTGACAATCTACTCTCCTCTGTTGTATATGCATGGGATCACAACAAGCCTTTATATGTTGCACCGGCCATGAACGCCATGATGTGGAACAATCCTTTCACAGAGAAACATTTGAAGATGATTAGGGATGAACTCGGAGTTAAACTCATCCTTCCTCGTACAAAGAATGGTGCAATGGCTGAAATTGATGTGATTGACGGTTTTGTAAAAGACCGTTTACCAGACAAAATTTGATTTGCACCGTACTACCGTAGAATTAGGCAGGTGCATGTACTGTGTTTAGGTATGCGGAACTAGGCGAGACGAATCTGCAGTTGTAATTGGGATTGATTACTTGGTTTCAGGGTGTGATCACTTTCTGCGTAGGCCCTAAATATGTTTCCCCTCCACATATCAGAAGAAAATTTTTCTGATCAGTTTGAATGGTAGTTGTATACTGCAATATATGGTCCTTTAATGAGATGCAAGTCCTGTATGTCGGAATTCATGTGTACGAATACAATTGATCGTAAGAGTACCTATAAGGCAACGACTTTGGGTATGTTTACTTACATGGTACGTGGATGAGAAGGAATAGGTGTGATAGTGTACGAGGAATAAGTAACAACCACACTCTATGTTAAGAGCAGTTCCACCGCGTCTAAGGCCCCCTAGGGCTATCCACTATTTAATCCACCTTATGAACAGTAACTGCTCTTAATAAACAGTAACTGTCTGTTGCATCTCCACCCCTACATAGAATAGCCCTGACAATTAGTAATAAAATATTAATATTTTTTCCTCACCCAATCCATCAAACATCCCAATCACCTTTCCCTTTTCCCCCTAATTTGACCGGTTCTTCCTTTGTCTCTCTCCCTCTTCTTTCCATCTCTCTTTCCCCTTTTCCCCTCATTTGACCTTTTTTCCCTTCATTCCACCATCATCATCTCTCCTCTTATCTGCTTTCATTCCCTCCCTCTTCGGTTTCTCTTTCCCCAATCTTTGTCTTCCTCTTCCACTTCCCTTCTCTCTACGTCTCTCCGGCGAAGATATCACACATAGTGGCAACTACTCATAGAGACTAGAATTTCTCCCCAATTTCTACTCGTTCTAAGTCCCAGCCATGAATCCCGAATAGTGAGTTCAATTCGACAATTCTTTTTTTTATTTTTTTTATTTTTTTAAATTTCTTGTTTGATTTATTTGATGCCGATCAAATTTGATCATATATGCCGTGGTTTTAAAACCACAGTTTTATTGGAAAATTTAGTTTAATTTAATTTTCTGAAATTGATTCTGTACAGTTGATGTTTTTTCGTTTGAATTGAGGGTTTGAGTGTGTAGATCCAGGTCAAATGAGGGGAAGGAAGACGGGGAGATGTCAAGCTCGGCGCATACACCGATGCCGCACATCAGCCATACGTCACACAACCTTCAGGCTCTCGGGCGAGCGATTCCTGTCAGGCCTCTCCCTCGGGCCTGCTCGGGCTCCCTCGCCAGCACACGCTGGACCACCTTCCTCGGCCTATCTGACCCTGTTTGAGAGCCAGTCCATCGTGCTATTGCCCACGGTGGAACTGCTCTAATGAGATCGTTCATTTTTCAGGTAGGCCATACCCAAAACCTATGAGACTCGCTTATTTTTTCATTATTTGAGTTGTCAGTAAACTCGTGAACAAGAATGATACCCATTCTTTCTCATTATATTCTGGGGTGTGCTATCCACACACCCCTTTTTACTTCTCACACACCTCTTGTTAATTTATGTCCGTTGATATTCTTTAATTCATCCAATTTGACGGCCGAAAATCAAAAAGGTGTGTGGGAAGTAAAAAGAGGTGTGTGGATATCACACCCCTATATTCTTTGTGAATTAACATATTATTAGTTGTTACCAATACTCTGTGTGGGTATAACATTTGTCACATGACCTCCACTCACTCGTACAGACATATATTATAACATTTGGATTAGTAACACAAATTTACAATGTTATTATCATACTAAAGAATAAGAACGCTTAGAAGGGAAAGAACGCAAATAACTACATTAAATCATGCAAATATTTCAGGATTAAAGAAGAAGCGGCCGCATTGGCTCATAAACCTACGTCATTGTCGTATCTAGCAACCTACGTCGTTGTCGTATCTAGCAACCTACGTCGTTGTCGTTTCTAGCAACCAAGCCTTTACTATCATGTCTTTCTTTCCTAAGATTTGGGAAGCTCGCAGTGGTTTGGACCTGATTTGTTGGAAATCTGAATTACACCACTATTCGCTCTGCACTTGGCTAGCTACTCAGTGTTTAGACACTACAAATTGTGTGGTTCCAAGTGTCATTGCTCGATTGAGATATGCAGAGCGGTGAGAACTTCAACCGCATTTTTTCGAGTTATAATTAATTAGATCATTAAGAAAGGAAAAGGATCATCGCCGGATCTTTTTCCTAGAGATCATGTGATCGTGACCGTTCATCATTCATTGTGCGGTCAGAAATTATTTCAAAATTTAAAATTTAAAATTAAACATAAATAGTACATAACGAAAACTGATCACACGATATACGAGGAACGATCACGATCATGGAATCCCTTCTCCAGAAAAAGAATCCGACGATAATCATTTTCCATTAAAAAATACCAAGCAAATTCAATTAAAGAAAACCATAATAACAAAAGAAACTGTTTCCAAAAATAAAAAAATAAAAAGAAACAAGATGCACGCATAGAATTGAACCCAAATTAATTTTTTTTTAAATAATGCATGTACCTCAAACTAAATAAAGTTGATAAAATCACTGGATTCACTACCCAACGGCCAACTGTCATAACCCTATAATTAATGATCCCCAAAAACCCAATTAAATAAGTCTTACACTATGTTTAGATGAAGAAATTTAAAATTACTAAAGAATTTTAAAATGACTAAAATTGAAATGACAAGATTTTATTTTCAAGAATTTGTAAATTTTCTTATTTGGTTAATCTAAAAGAACAATGGAATTGAATACTGAATTTGTTATTTTTAAACTTTAAATCATAGAAATTGGGGAATGACACCTATTTATATGGAATTTGAATTTGGGAATTGGAGGTCTCAAATTTCAAGTTTTTTTTTTCACCCCAAAATTCTAAATTTCTATGTTTATGAATCCAAACAAATGAATTGGTGCATGTTAATTTATAAATTCTGACTTTTATCAAAATTCTAAGTTTATTTCCCGCATCTAAACATAATGTTAATCATAGAGAAAAGGAAAGAATAAAATTCTTCGAGTAGAGCGTGTGAAGGAAAAAACAATTTTAATTAAATAATAAAATATAAATAAAATTAAAAGAATAATATTAATTACGATGACGCCACCGAATGAAACCTCACTGTCGCGCTTTCGCTTTTTCTCTCTCCGACTGTGGAAGCTTCTAGAGAGAGAAACTCAGACCTTCTCTGTAGAGTCCTCCGAGTCCTCAGACTTTCAATTTTTTTGAACGATGACGGGTTTAAGAATTTCTAGGGTTTTCTGACGAACCGATTTGTCCCAAATCTCGATGGAAATGCCCGGTAGGAGATCCAACTACAAGCTTCTGAGCCAAGTCCCCGACGACCAGACGGCGGCGTTTTACGAGACGGAGAGCAAGAACAAGGGGAAATGCGACAGCGGGCTCGATTGGGTAACCGGAGCCGATTACCGGGCGAATCAGCAAGCGATTCGTGCCGGGAACCCGTACTCGTCGGCCTGGTTGCAGAGGCAGTCGAGTGGGTTCGGGTACGTGCCGGACGATGTGTTCAAGGTTAGTGGTGTAGGGGGTGAATTTCGAATGAAGGGTGTGCATGGAGCTGTTGCGGTCACCAGCGGTGGCGGCGGCTCGTCTTCTTGGAAGAGCTGGGCTCAGCAGACTGAGGAGAGTTATCAGCTGCAGCTGGCTTTGGCTCTTCGGCTCTCATCGGAGGCCACATGCGCCGATGATCCTAACTTCTTGGATCCAGTGCTCGATGAATCAATGTCTAGGACATGGGGCTCCGTTGACGCCATTTCGCATCGGTTTTGGGTAAGGTTTATTCTGCTTTTGACGCCATGTTTCATTAGTTGCATGGTTTGCTGCCTTGCTTTGTTAATTGAGTCGGTCTATACGTTCACTAGCGCTGAGTTATTTGTTTAGTGTGTGAAATATGTTGTAGACTGGTTAGTTATCAACGGAATGGCTGGAGTGATTTCTGAATATTTTTGTGAAGACATTATGCATTTCTTCATGGAATTTGAATTCACAAGCTGCATTATCTCATTATTGCTCTACATCAAACAAGAAAACCGGGTTTGAATACCGGGTTTGAATTTTCGCACTCCATATTTGGCCCCAATCCTATCTGAATCCTATTGAAAAGCTAACCTTTATCTCAAATATCCTATTATTTCATTCTTCCACACGCTCCACATCAAACAAGAAAACAATATTTCTGATTGAACCAGATTCCATTTACAATCTAGCGTATTGGTTGAGCGAGCAATTGATCACTGAACAATGCATGACCTCATGTTAACCAAAAATGGGGCAATTCTGACATTATATTATGCATTCTATTTCTTGAAAAAGGGTGTTGTATATACTGACATACTGTTTGATCCTATGTCAGATTGCAGCTCCGTTTTTTAGTGGATCTAGATAACATCGTTAAAAGTAAAACTGATCTACCAGATTCACAAAAATGTTATGAAAGAGAAGATAATCAGTAATATGATGCATTTTTGGGTCTAACCTTACGATAACTGGGATTTTGATAAGTTCCTGTTGAAGTTGCCAATGAATCAAGAATCACATAGTACAATCGTTTGTATTGGAAGTTAGGTTTATGTAATAGCTATAACGGTAATACACTTATAATTATACATGTATATAGGTATGCAGGGAGTAGTTTTCTCATGTAAGACAGTATGGTATGCTATGTTGCCAGACTGGATCAAGTGAAATCATGTTATTCGTCAAATTTACAACCTAACAACGTTACATGTCAGATATCTAAAAAGAGATTATTTATTCCATTTCTTTCTTCCAACCCAAAATTTCTCAGAAAGATATTGGAGTTTAGAAATGATTTTGAACAACTATGTTCTTACAAATGGTTTATGTTTTGTGGTGATAGATGAATTAATCCTATCGTATTGATATGATGTGCAACAGGTGAATGGCTGCCTGTCGTACTTTGACAAAGTGCCTGATGGATTTTACCTAATTCATGGAATAGATCAGTATGTATGGACTGTGTGCACTGATCTGAAAGAAAATGGTCGTATACCATCAATTGATTCATTAAGGTCTGTTGATCCTGGCATTGGTTCAAGTATTGAAGTGGTTTTAATTGATCGACGTAGTGATCCCAGTCTAAAGGAGCTCCAAAATAGGGTTTTAACCATTTCTCGTACCTGCATAACTATGAAAGAGATTGTAGATCAGATGGCAAAGCTTGTATGCAGTCGCATGGGGTAAGTCTTCTGTATCTTCTGTCCACATCTTCTAGGACATCTATGTCTGCCATTCATATGTAACTGAATTTTGTTGCTATCACAAGGGGTTCAGCTTCTGTAGGAGAGGATGAAATATTGTCCATATGGAGGGAGAGCAGTGATGATCTGAAAGATTGCGGATCTGTAGTTGTTCCAATAGGCAGCCTTTCTGTTGGCCTATGTAGACATCGTGCTTTATTATTCAAAGTAAGGATCCTGTATGATTTGATATATTTACTTACCTTGGAAGAAGTCTATTTAACTTGATAATTTGTACGTTAGAGCTATTTTTTTTCATGAAAAGAGGGAATTGTTCTCTTTTATTTGATAATAAATATTTTTATTTTTTGTTGGTGTGAAGGCTTAGTTTGATAAGGACAGAGAGAATTTAACCCTTGACTTATATACTAAGGGAATTGTTATTGGCACTCCAAACCTCTCATTTGGCATCCCAAATTTTCTATATTTAGAAATAAAAATACACTTGTGATGGGTGCAAATTGAGATTTTTGGAGTGTTAATACCAGTTCCTATATACTAATGGCAATCTTTATCTGTTAATTATATTTCTTCTGATTCATAAGTTAATATTATTCTTTATTCATTTGATTACATTATGATACTACTAACAAGCTCCGTGTCTATCTTTGAAGGTTCTGGCTGATACAATTGGTTTACCTTGTCGAATTGCCAAAGGCTGTAAATGTTGTACAAGGGATAATGCCTCCTCTTGTCTTGTTCGGTTTGAGAGGGACAGGTATGCTATTATTTTTTAACTTTTGTGTTTATCAATAGTTCGAATTGGTAACGCTGTTTACTTTTAGAGCTGCCTAGTGCATAATTGCAAAAATTATTCAAGTTACGCTTTGGTAAAAAGTTATTCATCATATTTGTATCTGTTTGAATTTCTTTGTCTATACCTTTAGTTTTCTGTCGTTCATCAGCCATTGCCACCTTCCTGAACAAGCCCTTGAGCCTGCTTTGCACTGCCTTCCTCCTTTGTGTTAAAAAGTTATATAGGAAAATGAGCATGGTCAAATTAGAGTTGGAGAGAATATTTCTCTATTTGGAGAATCAAGAGTGTCCCAAATTTCATTTCCTTGTTATCAAACTGGTGGAGACATCTGATATGGTGTATTTGTTTCACTTCAGGGAGTATTTAGTCGATTTGATTGCAAATCCAGGTTACTTGTGCGAGCCTGATTCCTTGCTCAATGGCCCATCATCCATCTCAATTTCTTCACCGCTGCACTTTCCAAGACTAAAACCAGTTGAACCTACTATTGATTTCAGGTTACTGGCTAATCAGTATTTCTCGGACTGTCAATCGCTTAATCTTGTTTTTGATGAAGCTTCTGCAGGTAATTGTTTGATTGTCAAAGCAATCATATATATATTTACAAAAAAAAAAAAAAAACTGAAATGCTGATCATATAGACATATAAACAGAGAAATGGTGTCATATGTGATCAATTGCTGATTTGTTTTATGACAATCTGTTCTTGAATAAACACAATTAGGTATAGACATAATTATAGGATGCAGGTACAGTATGGTGCAGAATTGCAGATACTTTGATCCAGAAAATCCTAAAAGAAAACTTAGAATGTGGTTTGATGCATTACTTATATTATGATTACAATTGCAGAACCTGTAATAAAATATGCAGACACAGTTGTGACTGTCTCTATGGACATGCATACACACATTTCCATGCATGCTTTGACACATACATTTAATAAATCTACTGTACAGGCTCTTCCACAATAAATAATCTTTTTTATTCTAAATTTTAGTTGCCTGAGATTAATGCAAGCGTGCCTTCCCTAGTAACAATAACTTGGAGGTGTCTTATGCTACATACAAGAACTTTCTATGATACCCTCTGCCTGAAAGTAGGACATCAAAACAATTATATGGTGTGCTGATGCTTCATTTAGTTTGACCTCATTTAACTCTTCTTTATTGATTCTTTGGGGTTAGGATAGATGCATATTAATGTCAGATAACTGCAGATGGTTTTGAAATTTTTAGAATGGAAAATTGAATGTTGATGATCTAGTTGCAAATAAGTGAGCTTTATTTTCTGTTATGCCTTTGCACATGGTTCAAGTAGTGGGTATGCCAGTTATATTTACATTGGGATCGTATAAAACGGTTACGGTTAGAAGATGCGAGAAAATCGGTTACGGTGGTTTGGACATGTGCAAAGAAGGCCTACTGACGCTCCGATTAGAAGATGCGACTATGGGACAGAGGTTCAGGGCCGAAGGGGTAGAGGAAGACCTAGGAAAACTTTGGAAGAGACTCTAAGAAAAGACTTAGAGTACTTGGATCTAACGAAGGACATGACACAGGACCGAGCACAATGGCGTTCTAAGATTCATATAGCCGATCCCACTCAGTGACTTGGATTTTCCAAGTCTCCAACCGAGAAGTTTTCCTCACTCAGGAAATTAAGGGAACACTACCTCAACCTACATGCTCCACTCACAAAGCTTCAACAAAAGAAAATTCAAAGAACTTAGCGAAGAAGGCTTTGGTGTATTTAACACAATACGTTGAAATGAAGGAAAGCTTATTTATTGATATCCCCGATAAGCTACAAATATGTACATATACATGAGTCAAAATAAACACACAAGAGGGAGCCTTCACAAAGGTTGCTTAGGAGAAGTCTCAGCAGTCGGTAGAGCCCCAGAAAGAGAAGGCACCGGAGGGGGATCATTTGGAGCCTCAGTACTGGACAGAACCCTAGAAGGAGGAGGCATCAGAGGTTGATCATTTGGAGCTTCATTACGCGGTACAGCCCCAGAAGACGAAGGCAATAAATGCCTTTGGAACAAACCCACAAATCTCTGATGATCAAGTAAAACCTGACCATCAGTTTCCTTCATCTGGTCAAGCTTCCTCTTCATGTTTGTAGCATAGTCATGTGCGAGCCGGTGCAACTGTTTATTCTCATGCTTGAGCCCTCTAATCTCCTGTTTGAGACTCATCACTTCAGCCGCCAATGATTCAACTTGGCGGGTTCGAGCAAATAGGCGTTGGGCCATATTAGACACAGAACCTGCACACTGAACACTGAGAGCCAGCGAATCCTTAACAGCTAACTCATCAGACCGTTTGGAAAGTAGTCTGTTATCTTTGGGAGTGAGAAGGTTCCTGGCCACCACCGCAGCGGTCATATCATTCTTCATCACGGAATCCCCAACGGTAAGAGGACCAGTTGGGGAGACGAAGGATGGGCGCCATATGTTGTCTGGAGAAGGCGGGGCTGCCTCTTCAACAAGGTTCAAGTCAAAACGACGGTCGGAGGGGCCAGACATTTTCAAAGGTGTTGAAGAGAGAAGAGGTCGGACAAATCAAGATCTTAGAAGTGCAAGAATGAAGCTTCTACTGGTGGAGATTCAAGTGTGCTTTGGAACTTAATGCCAGCCCCTATAAAAATCTGCACTCGACGGAGCTTCAGAAATCGAAGAGACGCCTGCTCAGAAATCGAAGAGGCGTTTGCTTTCTCAAAAGTTGGGCTGCTTAGAGATCACGAGGGTTGATCTCAGAAATCGAAGAGGCGTTTGCTTTCTCAAAAGTTGGGCTGCTCAAAGACCACGAAGGCCGACCTCAGAAATCGAATAGGCACTCGCTTTCTCAAAAGCTGGGCTCCCCAGAGACCACGAGGGCCGATCTCAGAAATCGAAGAGGCACCTACTTTTCTAGCCTTGTCAGCACCTGTCACACGCACACTCAGCTTTGCGGAAATTATGGGCATTCTGTCAAAGACTTCTGGGGAAGTAGAAAACACATGAATCTTACTGTTCAATCACCCACTTCCCACACGCAACAATAGCTCATGGGTACCACAGATAACTTTGCCAAAGTTCTCTGCCAAAGTTGAGCACGTGAAGCTTGCAGCTCCCACTACATCGCTCTGACCAAGAAGGGTAAAAGAATAGCAAAGAAACAACACTAACAAAGTTTAGACCCATAAATTTTGAAGGTCTAGCTACCATATTATTACCCACAAGGGTAAAGGAACAGTACCACTGCTGGATAATTGGAAAGTCCCTGTGTGTCAACCTCTGTGCTTCGTGGCAAGGTAGACTAGCAAACATGCCCAACCTTTACTCACATTCGAGAAAACACTCCCAATAAGATTGCTTGCTCCAAAATCGAAGAGGCACCGTCCTCCGAATCTAAAGAGCCAGACTCCCAACATGACTACTTTCTTAAAAATCGAAGAGAGGGTAAAGGAACAGTACCATTGCTGGATAATTGGAAAGTCCCTGTGTGTCAACCTCTGTGCTTCTTGGCAAGGTAGACTAGCAAACATGCCCAACCTTTACTCACATTCGAGAAAACACTCCCAACAAGATTGCTTGCTCCAAAATCGAAGAGGCACCGCCCTCCGAATCTCGAGAGCCACTCTCCCAACATGATTACTTCCTCAAAAATCGAAGAGACACTGCTCCCCGAATCTCGAGAGCCAGACCCCCAGCATGATTGCTTTCTCAAAAATCGATGAGGCATCGTTCTCCGAATCAATCGAAGAGGCGCTCGCTTTCTCAAAAGCTGGGCTGCTCAGAGACCACGAGGGCCGATCTCAGAAATCGAAGAGGCACCTACTTTTCTAGCCTTGTCAGCACCTGTCACACGCACACTCAGCTTTGCAGAAATTATGGGCATTCTGTCGAAGACTTCTGGTGAAGTAGAAAGCACATGAATCTTACTGTTCAATCACCCACTTCCCACACGCAACAATAACTCATGGGTACCACAGATAACTTTGCCAAAGTTCTCTGCCAAAGTTGAGCACGTGAAGCTTGCAGCTCCCACTACATCGCTCTGACCAAGAAAGGTAAAAGAATAGCAAAGAAACAGCACTAACAAAGTTTAGACACATAAATTTTGAAAGGTCTAGCTACCATATTATTACCCACAAGGGTAAAGGAACAGTACCACTGCTGGATAATTGGAAAGTCCCTGTGTGTCAACCTCTGTGCTTCGTGGCAAGGTAGACTAGCAAACATGCCCAACCTTTACTCACATTCGAAAAAACACTCCCAACAAGATTGCTTGCTCCAAAATCGAAGAGGCTCCGTCCTCCGAATCTCGAGAGCCAGACTCCCAACATGACTACTTTCTCAAAATCAAAGAGAGGGTAAAGGAACAGTACCATTGCTGGATAATTGGAAAGTCCCTGTGTGTCAACCTTTGTGCTTCGTGGCAAGGTAGACTAGCAAACATGTCCAACCTTTACTCACATTCGAGACAACACTCCCAACAAGATTGCTTGCTCCAAAATCGAAGAGGCACCGCCCTCCGAATCTCGAGAGCCAGACTCCCAACATGATTACTTCCTCAAAAATCGAAGAGACACTGCTCTCCGAATCTCAAGAGTCAGACCCCCATCATGATTGCTTTCTCAAAAATCGAAGAGGCATCGTTCTCCGAATCTCGAGAGCCAGATACCACAGACCACTTTTTCAAAGTGCTCTGACAGAGTTAAAACATGGGAAACTGGCAGCTCCCACTACCGTGCTATGACCAAGCAGGGTAAAGGAATAGCATTACTACTTGTTGTTAGGGAGACTCCTATATATGTCGACCTCCATCCCCAACGGACAGGCAGACCTGCAAAAATGCTCAACCCTTCATCATATCTGAGAGGGCACTCCCAACGAAGCCTTTCGAAATATTCAGCTTTCTTTCCCCCCGATAATACCTCTGCAAACAAGCTATACTAGAGCAAGAATATCTCATATCATCAGGGTTAAAAGCAAGAGTATCCCATATCATGCTTTTTCCCTGTCTTTTCTTTTGGCCTTGTTTTTACCTGCAAGACAAGGAGAATGAGAGCAATCAGTCAGCACATGGAATCAAGCTTCCAGCCAGGAACTGACTGCTTGGAACCCCTTACCTGATTACTTACCTGGCATTGCTCTCGAGTACTCATCTTCAACATCTTATGTTTCCAGGGAAGATTCCGCATCTGCTTGAGGAACAGATAGGGCAAGTGCGAAGGATACAAGGAAGCATGTGGAGACAAGCATAACAGCACACGTGCCGATACATCCATTACTCTGTCAAAAGCAAAAGTATCCCATATCAGCAGGGTGGAACGTACTCTAGATTTGATGGACTTGTTTTGACCCTCAAATTCTTCAGTCGGCCTTATACTCTGGAGGAAACCAGAAAACCCTCCAGCTCAGTTCAAGAATAAGCCTGTGGAAAGTTACTTCTTCAAAAGCAAAAGTATCTCATATCATCTCTTCTCATTTTTCTTCTCTTTATCCTTCATGCTGCTGCAAGATGGGGAGAAGGTGAACAATCAGTCGGAGCTCTGATTGCTTACCTTGTCTGTCACCTCTTTCAGCAGACCCCCTAGCTCGGCGACTTGGGGGACTCCTACTACATGGTTTGTATCGCGCTTGACCAAGCCTGAAACTACAAGTAAGCTTCAAGTGAAATTGATACATTACCTTGTGCATCTCCACCAGTTAAAGATACCACCCCTGGATGGAGGAAGAGTACTTCCAGAGAAGATGCCACATCTACCTATGAGACAGATAAGGCAAGTCAAGACGACACCACACTCCGATACTTAGAAGTTTCGTGATTACGAGATCATTCTCCCACAATATTTCCTAATGTCATTTGTACTAAATCATTCACTTGTACTCACTAAAGGAGAGCTTGAACCTATGTACTTGTGTAAACCCTTCACAATTAATGAGAACTCTTCTATTCCGTGGACGTAGCCAATCTGGGTGAACCACGTACATCTTGTGTTTGCTTTCCTATCTCTATCCATTTATATACTTATCCACACTAATGACTGGAGCAATCTAGCGAAGATCACAAAAAGCGACCGTTTTCGCTACCTAGGATCTATCTTGCAAGAGAACGGAGAATTAGATGGAGATCTCAACCATAGAATACGAGCTGGATGGAAAGAGTGCATCCGGCGTGTTGTGTGACCGTCGTAGGCCACTGAAGCTCAAGGGAAAATTTTATAGGACGGCAATAAGGCCAGCGATGTATGGCACAGAATGTTGGGTGGTGAATCATCAACACGTACACAAAATGGGTGTAGCGGAGATGAGGATGCTTCGTGGGATGTGTGGGCACACGAGAAAGGATAAGATTGGGAATGAGGATATCCGAGGTAAAGTAGGAGTAGCCGAAATTGTAGGAAAGATGAGAGAAAATTGGCTCCGGTGATTTGGACATGTGCAAAGAAGGCCGACTGACGCTCCGGTTCGAAGATGTGACTACGGGACAGAGGTTCAGGGCCGAAGGGGTAGAGGAAGACCTAGGAAAACTTTGGAAGAGACTCTAAGAAAAGACTTAGAGTACTTGGATCTAACGGAGGACATGACACAAAACCGAGCGTAATGGCGTTCTAGGATTCATATAGCCGACCCCACTTAGTGGGAAAAGGCTTTGTTGTTGTTGTTGTTGTTGTTGTTGTATCGTATAAAACGGCAGTTATCTATTAATACAACTCCAAATTTCCTCATCTATTCACCCTTGGCATATAGAATTCTAGCAATAACTATGTTATGGTTATATTTACATTGAACTGTAAATTAGTATTCATCATCAGCTCTTTTGGATTTTCATTATCTGTTAAACCTGTACCTATAATTCTAAGTGATAACTATGTTGTGGTCTTGTCTATATTTTGTCCTGTAAATTGGCATTCATCTGTCATGACGATTCTAATTCACCCATGGTGCTTTCTATCATCACAGGAAGTGCTGTTGATGAGGACAATATGTATCCTAAACAATTTGATAGGAAGAGTACAGAGGGAAAAAACCTTTTTTCAAGTTTCAGTGGCTACACCTCTGCACACGCAGAAATTCCTGAGACAAGTGGTGATGATAGAAATCCCCAATTGTTTAATCGTTCTCAGAATATTGTGCACACACCACCCATGGTAAATGTTCCAATCCCTCTAACGCATATGCCGCCTGTAGGGCATAGAGATGGCCCAAAGGTGGATACAATTACAGACTCAAGGTTTGTTGAGGGTGTTCGACTGGTTCCTAGTAAACCAAGTAAAGAGCTCGCACTCAATGTAGGGAATTTGGACATCCCATGGAGTGATCTCGTAATAAAAGAGAAAATTGGTGCAGGTATCTTACCTTCCAGTTTCCTTCCATTTATGTTACAAACCTGAAAGCTTATGTAATATCATGAACATGAAGAGCTCATATGCCCTTCATGTACTTAATGCAGTTCATAGTAGTTAGTTTGAGGCTGTAAAAAATGGCATTGTGCATTTGCAGGTTCTTTTGGAACTGTTCAACGTGCTGATTGGCATGGCTCTGTAAGCACCTAATCTGTTTACACTCTGCCCTCATAACTTCTTGTATAGCCATTTATTCATAATACTGATAAAAAGTTGCACATTTAAGGATGTTGCTGTAAAGATTCTTATGGAGCAAGATTTACATGAAGAACACTTTAAAGAATTTTTGAGTGAGGTACATGATGGCAGAATGTTTGGACGCATTGAATTTAAGTACATAATTGGTTCCAGTGTACTTTCTTTGTCTTGAATTTGAGATAAGCTTCACCTTCTTTTGTCTGATAGGTTACTATAATGAAGGACCTGCGGCATCCAAACATTGTTCTCTTTATGGGTGCAGTTACCAAGCCGCCAAACTTGTCCATAGTCACGGAATATTTATCAAGGTTTTGTGATGTCCTCTTTTTGTACCCCTCCCCACACTGCCATCTCTACAATAGGAACTTTCATACGTATTAGACATTTATACCATGTTAAGAGATTTTTTTTTTTCAAATGGTTTAACGATCTGAATTGTTGGCTCTTAATTGCAGAGGTAGCTTGTTTACGCTTTTGCAGAAACCTGGTGCAAGGGAGGCATTGGATGAGAACAGCCGCTTGAAAATGGCTCATGATGTGGTGTGTATATGAAGACTTCTTATTCTTCTGTAGCATCTTATTCTTCCTTTTCAGTTTTTATATTTTAGTTTCTATTCACTGTGTGCTTGTACATGATCTGAAAAATTTCACAGGCAAAGGGAATGAATTATCTTCATAGACACAAACCTCCCATCGTTCATCATGATTTAAAATCTCCAAATCTGTTGGTAGACAAACATTATACAGTGAAGGTAAGGATCTCCTACAGCATTTAGTTTGCTTATGCTTTGAGCGCTTGTAATGGACCATTGATTTTCATTTAACTGGTTACTGAGCTTGGTGAATGATCAAACTGCTACATGATTTCTCTAGGCTCACAGGAGTTTAATTTTCAGTGGCTCGTGCTGGACTATAAGTTATGTATTTGAAAATGAACATGACTAAGTGCGCCAACATTTGTTTACTTACTGCATCGTTTACACCATTTTTCTTGCCTGTTTTGTGGTTTAGGTTTGCGATTTTGGTCTTTCCCGTTCAAAGGCAAGCACCTTCCTTTCCCCAAAATCAGCTGCTGGGACTGTAAGTGTTTTTTAACTAGACAAGCAACCTGGAAGTTACAATTATAAGGTGGTTGAAAATTCCCCTCTATTTTCTTTAGGCTGAATGGATGGCACCAGAAGTCATGCGTAATGAACCGTCAAATGAGAAGTCAGATGTTTACAGTTTTGGTGTAATATTGTGGGAACTCGCAACATTGCAACGGCCGTGGGGTAATTTAAATCCACTGCAGGTTTGTGTTACGATGATTATGCTCTTGTAGATTAGAAAAGGGAAATGCGGAATATCTTTTAGACCTGATGACACATAGCCTTTCTATTCTATGTTCCGTAGGTTGTCTCAGCTGTTGTGGTTTATAACAAAAGGCTGGACATTCCGCATGATGTGAATCCACGTGTGGCGGCTATAATTGAGGCTTGCTGGGCCAAGTGAGTTTGAGACTCTAATTCAATAAATTAAACTGACTTTCGTACAAAAATTTCCCGGTTTTCCCTAATAACAAATTCATGCTGCAGCGAACCCTGGAAACGACCTTCATTTGCTAGTATCATGGAATCTTTGACGCCATTGATAAAAGATCCTGTGACTCAACCTAGTCATGCAAATATGCCATTACTCACCTGAACGGGAACGAGTCTTATTCATGCACATAATACACCATTCTTTAGAGAACCGATGTGTGGCGGGCATATGTGCTGTTCATATTCTCGGGTATGGCCATTGCCTCAATATGTATTCTTGGTTTTAGTTTGCTTGGTCAGTTTCCGGTCCAATGAACTCGTATGCATAATTTCCGATGCTTGTTTGTACATTTCTGTTCTTATCGCCGATTCAGCATTTGGATTCTTTAACCAAATGAAGGAAACTATGAGTGCCAACAGTGTCTGCATTGCCGCCTCTTCTCGCCGTCATGGGGAAGTTGTATAATTTCTGTTTCATAATTTTGTACATAAAAGAGCGTTACTAGAATCGATTACATCTTTCCTAGCATGCTTTGTTTGGCACTTTAATGACGTTGTACAAAAACGTGAAAGCTAGTCACTCAATTAGCAGCAGGTTTTCGGTTGTTGCTACCCTAGTGAAATTGAAGAAAACGAAATTAGAAAGAGCTAAATGCACAAATCTTTTAGCGATCTAATTCGTCTTCGACAATTTTCCATCTTTTTTTCGTTCTGCTTTAAGACCTAATTGGCGTGTTTTCTTTTCTTTTCCTTTTTTTTGAAAAAAAAAAAAATACACCACAATCTCAAATCAACCCTTAGACCTACTCCAACCCTTGGTAAAACTCAAATTTTAAGCTCTAAATCAACCTACCACTCTAACCTATGGAGCAAATATGAGTTTTAACTCAAAATTCATTTATGAGACCAACTCCAACCCACGAGGGTGTTGTCGGCCTCGTCATTAAGCCCAACGGCTTTTTCTTCATCTATGGCATGGATTAATTAGATCCAATGGCTCTTTTTGTAGCCCCACTCAAATTTCTTCTTCTTCTTCTTTTTTTTTTTTTTTTCAGTTTTATATTTATAAATTCATTGAATCCAACAGTTGAGATCTAATACGATTAAATTCAATGATAAAAAAAGAAAGATCTAACGGTCCAAATTTAAATACAATGGCTAAAATAAGATCTAATATACATTTCTATCATGTATTTCATATTCTTCTATAGTGTTTTATGAGTTTCATGGTGTTGGTTTAGTGATTTTTTAATATTTATCGGAATCTAAATATTTTTAGGTTAAAATATTCATAAAATTAATTAGGATAGTCTACATATATTTTTTTAAAAGTTAATTAAAAAATTAACCTAAATTCATTCTTTAATAATTTTGGGCTAAAATTTTAGGTCATAAAGGTTGGAGCAGAAAAACTGTTTTTGGGCTAAGAATTTTAAGTTTTAGGTCAAGGGTTGGAGATGGTTTGAGGCTAATTTAGGTCAAGATTTTTCCTGGGTTAGTGGGCAGTCCATCAAATATGTGTTTTTTGTTTGTTTAATATTTATAAATTCAATGGTTAAGATCTAATATCATCAAATCCAACAGTAAAAGAAAAAGATCTCACGGTTCAAATTTAAATTCATCAGCTACAACAACAACAACAACAACAACAAAGCCTTTTCCCACTAAGTGGGGTCGGCCTTTATATGAATCCTAGAACGCCATTGCGCTCGGTTTTGTGTCATGTCCTCCGTTAGATCCAAGTACTCTACGTCTTTTCTTAGAGTCTCTTCCAAAGTTGTCCTAGGTCTTCCTCTACCCCTTCGGCCCTGAACCTCTGTCCCGTAGTCACATCTTCGAACCGGAGCGTCAGTCGGCCTTCTTTGCACATGTTCAAAATCACCGGAGCCGATTTTCTCTCATATTTCCTACAATTTCGGCTACTCCTACTTTACCTCGGATATCCTCATTTCCAATCTTATCCTTTCTCGTGTGCCCACACATCCCACGAAGCATCCTCATCTCCGCTACACCCATTTTGTGTACGTGTTGATGCTTCACCACCCAACATTCTGTGCCATACAACATCGCTAGCCTTATTGCCGTCCTATAAAATTTTCCCTTGAGCTTGAGTGGCCTACGACGGTCACACAACACGCCGGATGCACTCTTTCCATCCAGCTCGTATTCTATGGTTAAGATCTCCATCTAATTCTCCGTTCTCTTGCAAGATAGATCCTAGGTAGCGAAAACGATCGCTTTTTGTGAGCTTCGCTAGATTGCTCCGGTCATTAGTGTGGATAAGTATATAAATGGATAGAGATAGGAAAGCAAACACAAGATGTACGTGGTTCACCCAGATTGGCTACGTCCACGGAATAGAAGAGTTCTCATTAATTGTGAAGGGTTTACACAAGTACATAGGTTCAAACTCTCATTTAGTGAGTACAAGTGAATGATTTAGTACAAATGACATTAGAAAATATTGTGGGAGAATGATCTCGTAATCACGAAACTTCTAAGTATCGGAGTGTGGTGTCGTCTTGACTTGACTTGCCTTATCTGTCTCATAGGTAGATGTGGCATCTTCTCTGGAAGTACTCTTCCTCCATCCAGGGGTGGTATCTTTAACTGGTGGAGATGCACAAGGTAATGTATCAATTTCACTTGAAGCTTACTTGTAGTTTCAGGCTTGGTCAAGCGCGATACAAACCATGTAGTAGGAGTCCCCCAAGTCGCCGAGCTAGGGGGTCTGCTGAAAGAGGTGACAGACAAGGTAAGCAATCAGAGCTCCGACTGATTGTTCACCTTCTCCCCATCTTGCAGTAGCATGAAGGATAAAGAGAAGAAAAATGAGAAGAGATGATATGAGATACTTTTGCTTTTGAAGAAGTAACTTTCCACAGGCTTATTCTTGAACTGAGCTGGAGGGTTTTCTGAGTATAAGGCCGACTGAAGAATTTGAGGGTCAAAACAAGTCCATCAAATCTAGAGTACGTTCCACCCTGCTGATATGAGATACTTTTGCTTTTGACAGAGTAATGAATGTATCGGCACGTGTGCTGTTACGCTTGTCTCCACATGCTTCCTTGTATCCTTCGCACTTGCCCTATCTGTTCCTCAAGCAGATGCGGAATCTTCCCTGGAAACATAAGATGTTGAAGATGAGTACTCGAGAGCAATGCCAGGTAAGTAATCAGGTAAGGGGTTCCAGGCAGTCAGTTCCTGGCTGGAAGCTTGATTCCAAGTGCTGACTGATTGCTCTCTTTCTCCTTGTCTTGCAGGTAAAAACAAGGCCAAAAGAAAAGACAGGGAAAAAGCATGATATGGGATACTCTTGCTTTTAACCCTGATGATATGAGATATTCTTGCTCTAGTATAGCTTGTTTGCAGAGGTATTATCGGGGGGAAAGAAAGCTGAAATATTTCGAAAGGCTTCGTTGGGAGTGCCCTCTCAGATATGATGAAGGGTTGAGCATTTTTGCAGGTCTGCCTGTCCGTTGGGGATGGAGGTCGACATATATATAGGAGTCTCCCTAACAACAAGTAGTAATGCTATTCCTTTACCCTGCTTGGTCATAGCACGGTAGTGGGAGCTGCCAGTTTCACATGTTTTAACTCTGTCAGAGCACTTTGAAAAAGTGGTCTGTGGTATCTGGCTCTCGAGATTCGGAGAACGATGCCTCTTCGATTTTTGAGAAAGCAATCATGCTGGGGGTATGACTCTCGAGATTCGGAGAGCAGTGTCTCTTCGATTTTTGAGGAAGTAATCATGTTGGGAGTCTGGCTCTCGAGATTCGGAGGGCGGTGCCTCTTCGATTTTGGAGCAAGCAATCTTGTTGGGAGTGTTGTCTCGAATGTGAGTAAAGGTTGGGCATGTTTGCTAGTCTACCTTGCCACGAAGCACAAAGGTTGACACATAGGGACTTTCCAATTATCCAGCAATGGTACTGTTCCTTTACCCTCTCTTCGATTTTGAGAAAGTAGTCATGTTGGGAGTCTGGCTCTCGAGATTCGGAGGACGGTGCCTCTTCGATTTTGGAGCAAGCAATCTTATTGGGAGTGTTTTCTCGAATGTGAGTAAAGGTTGGGCATGTTTGCTAGTCTACCTTGCCACGAAGCACAGAGGTTGACACACAGGGACTTTCCAATTATCCAGCAGTGGTACTGTTCCTTTACCCTTGTGGGTAATAATATGGTAGCTAGACCTTCAAAATTTATGTGTCTAAACTTTTGTTAGTGCTGTTTCTTTGCTATTCTTTTACCTTTCTTGGTCAGAGCGATGTAGTAGTGGAGCTGCAAGCTTCACGTGCTCAACTTTGGCAGAGAACTTTGGCAAAGTTATTTGTGGTACCCATGAGCTATTGTTGCGTGTGGGAAGTGGGTGATTGAACAGTAAGATTCATGTGCTTTCTACTTCACCAGAAGTCTTCGACAGAATGCCCATAATTTCTGCAAAGCTGAGTGTGCGTGTGACAAGTGCTGACAAGGCTAGAAAAGTAGGTGCCTCTTCGATTTCTGAGATCGGCCCTCGTGGTCTCTGAGCAGCCCATCTTTTGAGAAAGCGAGCGCCTCTTCGATTGATTCGGAGAACGATGCCTCATCGATTTTTGAGAAAGCAATCATGCTGGGGGTCTGGCTCTCGAGATTCGGGGAGCAGTGTCTCTTCGATTTTTGAGAAAGTAATCATGTTGGGAGTCTGGCTCTCGAGATTCGGAGGGCGGTGCCTCTTCGATTTTGGAGCAAGCAATCTTGTTGGGAGTGTTTTCTCGAATGTGAGTAAAGGTTTGGCATGTTTGCTAGTCTACCTTGCCACGAAGCACAGAGGTTGACACACAGGGACTTTCCAATTATCCAGCAATGGTACTGTTCCTTTACCCTCTCTTCGATTTTTAAGAAAGTAGTCATGTTGGGAGTCTGGCTCTCGAGATTCGGAGGACGGTGCCTCTTCGATTTTGGAGCAAGCAATCTTATTGGGAGTGTTTTCTCGAATGTGAGTAAAGGTTGGGCATGTTTGCTAGTCTACCTTGCCACGAAGCACAGAGGTTGACACACAGGGACTTTCCAATTATCCAGCAGTGGTACTGTTCCTTTACCCTTGTGGGTAATAATATGGTAGCTAGACCTTCAAAAATTTATGGGTCTAAACTTTGTTAGTGCTGTTTCTTTGCTATTCTTTTACCCTTCTTGGTCAGAGCGATGTAGTGGGAGCTGCAAGCTTCACGTGCTCAACTTTGGCAGAGAACTTTGGCAAAGTTATCTGTGGTACCCATGAGCTATTGTTGCGTGTGAGAAGTGGGTGATTGAACAGTAAGATTCATGTGTTTTCTACTTCCCCAGAAGTCTTTGACAGAATGCCCATAATTTCCGCAAAACTGAGTGTGCGCGTGTGACAGGTGCTGACAAGGCTGGAAAAGGCTGGAAAAGTAGGTGCCTCTTCGATTTCTGAGATCGGCCCTCGTGGTCTCTGGGGAGCCCAGCTTTTGAGAAAGCGAGCGCCTCTTCGATTTTTGAGATCGGCCTTCGTGGTCTTTGAGCAGCCCAACTTTTGAGAAAGCAAACGCCTCTTCGATTTCTGAGATCAACCCTCGTGATCTCTAAGCAGCCCAGCTTTTGAGAAAGCAAACGCCTCTTCGATTTCTGAGCAGGCGCCTCTTCGATTTCTGAAGCTTCGTCGAGTGCAGATTTTTATAGGGGCTGGCATTAAGTTCCAAAGCAC